TATAAGACGCGCCAGAGTATAAGACACACCTAGATATCAAAGAGGAAAACAAGAAAAAAATAATTTTTGGCATCAGAGTGTCCGGTTTTTGCCTTCCCCGGCCCCCAGGAGCACTCTGTAGGCCTCCCAAACCCTTCACACGTCTCATTTTTGGTGAAAACAGGACGCGGAAGGGGAATTCGGGAGGCCAAAACCAGGGCCGTATTCAGTCTATAATACACAAAGACCTTTCCACCCACTTGTGTTTTTTTTTGGGGGGGGGGTTGGAGTGCCGAAAAATACTTAAAATGGTCCTCACAAGATATGGCTATCAATACCTAGAATTAGAACTGAAGTAGCTGAAGATTATAAAGATGGAGGAAGCCACGCCATGATTACAGATTTTTTTTCTTTCAATGAGACTCTCACACCTAACTCTTTTTTAAACAGTGATTCCATTACCCCAATTGAAGGTATAGTGAAATCATCTCATGACTGGTCATTAGGATTTCACCGTATGTTTACAATAGAGCCAGTTGAAACTGGAGTAAACCTAGCCAATTATTCTACTTTGGACACACTAAGACCCCCTTCCCTGGACAGTTTATAATGCCAGAAAGGTGGAAGGAAAGGGAAGAGGGGGATGACCAGCAATAAGGTATGTGGACTTAGTTATAGTAGCGATGGATGCACTATTGAAAGGATCAGATTAAGTACAGATTGTATTGGAGAAAATCTATGCTATTGGTAATAGTTATACTGATTTGATGCCACATAATTAAGCTTGACTCAAATTAGACTTTAAGAAAGTTATATAAATAATTGGTTTTGTATATATTTTATTTATGATAAAAGATCAGTTACTAATTATACATAATCAGTACAGAAGATAAATACTATCAAACTATATTAAAACTTTGATGTAATTAAAAGAAATATGAATAATCTTGTAATACTTGGTCCCTCCGAAACAATTGTTCTAAAGATGACTAGATTTAGATTTGTTGGTAAGTAGAGAATATGCTGCTCATTCAAGGTATTTTGTTAAGGAAGATGTTATTAAATATCTACTAAGCCATATAGAATAGGCAGCACAGTAACGTATGAATAATTGTCTTAGTTTCTCCCTCTAGGCATATACATAAATCCTTTTACACTGCAATGTTAAAACATTACATCTGGCAAAAAGGAGCTTTTTAGTGAGGTAAATGCAGAATTTTAATTAGATAATTAACTGGAGTGAAAAATGTTCCAGACAAAACCGCCACCATATGGTACCAAACTATAGATAATAGCTCAGATCTTTTCTGAATATCAGTAAAAATTACTCATTAGCTCAACTCATTATTGCTTTCTTAAAGCCCACGATACTAGGCCAAGAGTCTATAATATCTTCAATCTTACAACACCATTTTTCTAGGTCAATAGAAAGTTATCCAAAAATAACCTGAAGACCCAAGGGACCCATTACTGAAAATCAATTTTACCCAGAATTTTAGCTAACACCCTTTAAACAAGCCTCTAAAGTAGGTATTCACATTCCAGATATAATAATGAACTGGAAATTCTGAAGAACGTGGATCAAGACTTTTAGAAATATAGTTGATCCTATTTTTCATGGTCTAAAAACTCATCTATATAACATGGTTAATCACTATGCCTTACAAATTTAGAGCAGAAAACATAACTACATCTTCTGTTGCTAGTAAAATAGCATTAGCAATCAATAGCAGCTCTTATTTTATGTGTCCAAGCATTCCACAATGATAAAGTAACTTCCAAGATTTAAATGTCATAATTTGCTCTATGCAAGTATTACTGATTATCAATATTTGTAACTTGCATGTCTTGTACTACTTTTGTTTCAGCAAAACTGATGCTAAGTTTTCCCTATTAGCTATACAAAGCAAGAGTTGAAATGTTCTGGCTTACATCTATTTATGTTGTAGAAGCATTTAAAGAGGTTTATTTGGTGAAATTTGTCCAATTAAGGTTTTTTTTTTCATTCTTTGTACTACAGAATTTGTGTAAATGCTGAAAACTAGGGGCCCATACCACCTTACCCTTGTTTGAATTGGGTTAGAAAATCATCTTAGGCTACAATATGTAGCCTGAATTCAAGTATTTTCCTACCATCGGGTAATTAAAAGTTCAGGTACTCTTTGCTTAACAATCACACTTGGAACCAACAGTGTTAAGTGACAGGATTATTAAGTGAGATGTCTTGTGACTGACAGATTTACAATCCACTGCAGTTGTTAAGCAGAATATCTACAGTCCTTAAGTGAGACTTCATGTGTCCATGATTGCAGTTTTAGTGTTGACTCCTCCATTATTGGAATTCAGCTGTGAAACATGCAAACAACAATCATGTGAAGCTGCAGTGTTTGTAAATCACTGGTTGCATAATGCCAAATTTTGATCAAGTCATTGCAGGCATGCTGTGATTGTCATCAGTTCAAGGACTGGTTGCAAAGTTACTTTTTCAGCTCTGTCAAAACAGTTGCTAACTAGGGCAGTTGTTAAGTGAGAATTTCCTGTATTCCTGAAAGTGGATAGAAAAGCTGTCAGCAAAAATTCATAGCCTCATATATCAGAATTGAGTTGGATGTCTTTAGATCAGTAAAAGCAGAAAGAGTACATGAAGGCAATTAAAGCACCTTTTATCAAGATGCTGCAAAATGATGCACTAATCAAATGTTTTATGCATTCCACTCCAAACAGAATTTACTCAACCGGTAGATTGTCCTGTACCAGCCAGAAATAGTTTCTAATATATATGACTAGTGTAGATTTACCGATCTTAGTTAGAGACTAATTGGATGAAATTTATCAAATCATCTGTCTTATCTCTTGTAAATTAGCCCTGTAATTGATTGACTGCATCCCTTGGGAATGTGTAAGGAGTGCTCAGTTTGAGTAAATAAAGATGCTAGTACTGGAACCTGCATAGTATTTCAGCTGAATCCAAGTATACTCTTATTTTCTGTACTATTTTTCAGTTGCAAAGTAAGATAAGATATCTCAGAAAAGATAACCAGATGCAGTTTTGAGATCAGATTTAACTCTGAGTTATTTAATTTTAATCTCATAATAAACTTAGAAATTTAAACAGACACAAATTTGTATTTCAATGACTACATTTACATTTCTTCTGAACCAGCTATAATACAGAATTTAAACTATGACTTGAGCTTGCAAGTATATAAGTTTTCAGTAGCATTTTCTTTTTGCCTGTTCAGATTCATTAGTTGCTTTCTACCTACATAATAAAGCAGTCTTTCTTTGTCTATGTACACTTTGACAATGTAATAACAATTTTAACATACTTCGCAAACCGAATTATAATCATAATGTCTAATTCGGATTTGAAAATGAAAGCCTGATTTTTCAATTTTGATAGCATATCAAATCATGGCTAAATTTCCCTAAGCATGCATGTTTTGATGTAATGTATGAATTAAAACTATGTTCTGGTTTGGTTGTGCTCCATTATAATGAAAAATCTTTAGAAAGCTGACCAAAATATTTTCAGTTACTTTGGCTATCTCTTTAAGCATCCAGATCTTGGGTGGGAACCTTATTCTAGAGCCATGAAGGCCAACCTATGGCACGCACGCCCAAAGTGGCAAGCGAAGTCATGTCGCCTGGCATGCACAGCCTTGCCTGTTTGTCTTCTGGGTTTCTGGCATGCATGTGCGAGCGACAATCAGCTGTCATTCATGTGTGCGGCAGTGCCAAAAACCAGCCTGCGCATGGGCATCACCCAACTGTTTGTCAGGCATACATGCACGCTAGAACCTGGAAGTTTGGCTTTTCCGAAGCATGGCTCTGATGAACGTGCACGCATGCACGCAACATTGCCGCACGACCTTTTGAGCACTCTGTGCCGAAAAGGTTTGTCATCATTTTTCTAGAAAGTGGTACTGCTAAAGAGAAAGCACACCTCTGGGGTCCTGATAGATAACTTTGTTTAATTGAAGAAACCTGATTAAAGATTGAACTAATTCCATCAATTCTGTAAGATCAAATCAGCCAGACAGATTCTGTAGTAGACATGTGGTTCCTCAAGTGTTGTGCCAAATTCGAGGTGTGGCTTGGTAAAATAGAGACAAAATATCAGGTGTTGCCTTTAAGCCTACATGTTTATTCAGCTGAACAAAGACGGGCCCTTCTAACAGACAGGAAGCCCCAAGCCTACACTCCCCCCAGCAAGGATGGCACATAAGAGATACAGGAATCATCCAGAAGGTCTGGCACACAGTAGATAAGATATTAAGATGTTCTTAGTAGATAGAGGATTCTTTAGGGACACTAGGTGGTACGTGCCATCTCAGCACATTGGGTGTTTCCCTGGGGACTTTCCACAGCCCTGCAGGTGTTGAGAGATAATGATGCCATCTGTACATGCATATCTTCCAGGCTTTCCTTTGATACCAAGTCAACAGAAGTAAACAGCCCCATGTATCATATTGATGATATTTGGTGATTCACGTGTATAGATAAACTAGAGAAGGTAGATAATATTATTTGATTGAATGCAGGTTTATCTCTGTTAATGATGTTTACTTCTTCTTCAGGGAAGAACTGTAGATTTTCCTCCCTCAAAGTTAAAGTCCGGTTATGGAGAACAAGCTTGCTACGTTCTTGATTGTTTGGCAGAAGAAGCCTTGAAATACACATCTTTTAGCTGGAAAAGGTATTGTATCTTGCTCTGACTGAAATGGGTCTAGATAATCAGCTATATCCCGGTCTTCTGAAGCTACCATGCAACCACTTTCTTCACAGCCTTCCTAAAAAGGGGAGTCTGAAACTAGAGAAAACTGTTAGAACAGTTGAGTTGTACAATGGTTCCTTGAAGCAAGGGTGCTCCATTTCTTCTCCAAGAGCCAGCAGACCTTCTGCTTCCTCAAGAAAAAAAATATATGTTCTCTCTCAGGCAGCCTTCAGTAGCAGGGAGGGGCACTGACCTATCATAGAAGTGGCCAAATTAGTAGCTGTAGAAGCACATGTACAGTAAACATTTTTAACTGCCCATATTAACACATTTTGTATAGTATATAGACAAATACATCATCCTTTTTGTAAAACATTCCTAACACAGAGTAAAATAACTCCTCCCCCTCACAAAATCGATATGAAAACATAGAAAAGAAGGGGGAGTTTATAGCCCTGCTATTGTTAAGCTTTGAAAATACACCTGAAGAAAATAATTTTCACAGTCAAAATATCAATAATAAGAAGGCTAAATACATCTCTAGCAATAAGATGATCCAAAGCATGGATCCCTAAACAGACCTTCTCTAGATTACCTAACAACTGTCATTTTAAAGAAGTATTTTTTTGTATAACAACCAGGAGCCATGTCATAATGAAGTGGATTGAATGGTAGAAACCATTATCAACAGATGCTGAGAATGGAAGTTAGTAAAATTAGATGTTAGATTGTTTTGTCTTAAATTTTATTAGTTAGCATGGTATCAGGTTTATATGATGTGTGTATCTATATTTACATATATATAAAATATGTATATTATCACTTTTGTATTAACTAACAGTTTTTAGTTGTTAATTTGTGATTTGGATCATATACACTAGTACGGTGTATGTAACGAAGAATTTCATTTGTTTATATAAAAGGCTTTGTAGGAATAACCAGCATTTAGAATTAGAATTAAGCACAATGATGATCGGTGCCAGAGAATGTGTGTTACATAGCACTGTTTATTATTTGTAACTTCTGAGTGGTCCTCAAAGGCAGGCCCACATGCAGCATTATGTGGTCAAGTTGTAAGATGATTATGGCTTGGGCCACTGCTTTTGGGATCTGCTGAGCAAGATAGTGCTGCAAATGATGTACCAGTCAAACTGCAAATCCAGGAGTATCCTCAAGTCATGGACTTATTTCTTCAACGAAAGTACAACTCTGTCTTAATGCTATCACTGAAATTATTGTTTCTAGACAACACAGAAGATCAGAGGCAACACTCCTATCTTACTAGGCTTTAGTCTTTTTGCTCCATCAGTTCCCTAACAACCCCCAGCATGGTCTGGGATGTGCAAAGTACAGGTCACTATCATCAACATAGTTATAGTATCCTATTTATGCTACCTTATTTCAAAAACTGATTTTGTCTTCCACTGGTTTCATACAGATATTAAATAGTATGGAGAAAGGGTTTAGCCCGCTGGTATCCCACACTGGAGAAACCCTTCTTCTCCCTCAGCTGCCAGTTCCCAGGATGGATTGAATAGGTTGGTTGAAAGATTTGCAAGGATAATATTAGCAACAAAATACTATTTTCTAATGGATCATGCTTGAATATGTTAAGTCTGGGCCTGATAAAAGACTACAGCATTCTGTACTATTGGCTGTAGATTTATCTAGTAAGTGATATCGTTGCCCCTATAATAGCAGAAGCTTGGAACAAAATAACCTTGGAGGCAAATGAACACTTGAGTTAACGACTACTGTGTAGAATTTATTTTTATTTATTAAATTTATTTGCCGACCATCTTGCTGCAAGGCAACTCATTCTCTACTAGAAGCATGAAAGTAATCACTTTATCTCTAAAAACTAGTGAGCTGAAGCAGTTCTTTTATTTCCCCGGGAAATTTACCAATGCCATATTTGAGAACTACAACTAAGTGAATAATTAGTTCTGCACATTTCTTTTTAGTAAACATAGTTTAATGGTGATTTCTCTTTGTACATAATCTTAACACTTTTTCCCCCCTTCCTTTTTTCTTTTTGCAAATCTATTGATGGAAAATTTAGCAAGAAATATATCAAATAATTGCAGTGCTCACATTTACTTATCTTTGTTTTGCGATTTTGTATATATAAGGTTACATATAAAGTTCTCTGTCTTTTATTGATTGTCTCATATTTTCAAATGGATCTAATTTAAAACTGAAGAGTCCATGATTTATTTAAGACTACATTGACTGGTGTTATTAGAAACTGATTGAAAATGTCTATCCAAATAAATTAAAAACTTTAGCAATTTTAATAATTGGAACATTTGTAAATACTAAGTTATCAAACTCAATTGAACTGCAGAGAGGGAAGGAAAACCTTTTACAAAGGCATGGCTGCTCCTATATGTCATCTAACATGTTTACATTTTAGACATTTTAAAATTTTTAGACATAGTACTTTTTATTCTGTTTGCATACAAGCATTTTGGGATAAGCATTTGAAAAAGTGAATTTCAATTTTATTTGCATTGTTTGGCTGGAATTGTATCCAGTCATTTTACTAATTATGGAAAAATGAAGCAGAAAGTTCTCCATATCAGATAAATGTAGTTATGTTTTCAAAAGGGATATATCTTAAAATTCAAACAAATGTCACTGTAACTTCATAAGTCTCAGAGAATTGCACGTATTGCATTTATCTTTTAAGGCCTACATATCCAACTGAGGAGCTAGAAGAAGAAGCAATAACAGAAGATGATGCTGAATTAACGCTTAATAAAATAGAAGAAATAATTGCGGTAAGTTTATGTAACTTGTCTTGACTGTTATGAAGGAAAGAATGTTTCCTTATGTTTATGTTCCTTAGGTTTTCAATAGTTCAGTTTTATATGTGCATTCAGAAAAAGACAATATTTAGTGCAATAAAACTTAGTTTTGAAACAGGATAGATGGTTGATATCATTTTCAAATTTAAATTTATAAGCTTTTCTGTCTGGGAATTCAAATTAATACTAGGTTGGACTACAAGTGAGAAAATGGCCGGTGTATATGGATATATCTTTGAACTAAATAAGTTAAATGTGTTTGAGATAACACAAAACAAATTAGGCTTGTGTTAGGCAGCATAGAGATGGAATGGTCAAGTTCTGGAATAGAAGAATGGAATAGAAATTAGTCAAGAATATTTTTAATTAGGTATTGTTGTTTAATTGTAAGTAAGCATTGAAAAATTCACTTCTTATCCCTCTATTCTAAATATCCTAAATACATAGGCTCTACTCTTCTACTTCTCCTGTTTCAAATTTAGCAGTACAGTGCAGTTTACTTAAAATAAACCATATTCCTACTTTTTCAAATAGGAAGGAATATAGTGAAATCTTTATTTAGTGAGCCTCGATGCAATAAACCAAATGCATATTTAATACATGTTTTGAGTAATGGTCATCCCATCTTCCCAATTAAGCTGTTAAAATGAAGATTTATTATAATACCCATACAATTATAGAAAAAAATCTTTTTTTTTGCACAATATTTTTTTCTTTTTTGTTATTGTTAGAGTTGAATGTATACTTTGTTTTATTTTGTTGATTTGTTTGGTTACTATTTTGTATTTTATTTTCTATGATAAAACAAATAAGGAAAAAAAGAAAAACATCTGGCTTAAATTGTTGCATATTTAAATGCCAAAGCATTATTTCTCTCTTATTTTGCTGACTGAATTATTTTCACATACACAGTTGTATAGTCAAAGTTAATAAATGAAATAAAAAACTCATTGATGTAGCCTGCAGCAATTCTTGTCAAAATAGTACCAGGTTTTCACATGTCACTATGGTTGGATTCCTGCCAGCTGTTTTTTTGTTTTAGTTGCTTCTTGGCTCTCATGTTACATTGTCCATATAAATACATTTGACAGGGGAAGCCAATACTTTTCACAAATGGGTTATATCTAAAATAAGGAGCTTAATGTCCTCTAGCTTTTGAATAGTAATCTCTACAATCCTTTTTTCACTGTCAGTGTGGGTTAGGGCTGATATGAATTGAAGTAAAAAATATCAGGAAATCTCCTATCCTTGTTTTACATGAACTGGCCGCAATGAATATTTTAATGGTACAAAGGGCAAACTGTTTTGGGAATGATTACTAAAGCAGTGCTTTTGACAACAAGTCCTGTGAGTAGCATATTGTATAGTTTTGGATGGTAATAGCATTTTAAAGTTTGTTTCATCTAAAATAAAATTTTTGATGGGCTTCATAGAATAATTTTAAAATCATAACATTGACTGTCCTGCTAAAAATATTTTCTATGTTTTTAAGGAAGAAGAGACAGACAATGAGGAAAATTATATTGATCTCAATGTTTTAAAGGCACAAACTTACAAATCAGTAAGTGTTTTCTTCAGTTGGTACTGAATGCTAGTTATTAAAGTATTGATTTGCAAACACAATGCATTGCTGCTTGAGTGAAGTGTCTCCTTCTTTCAGTAACTGTAAAATTTCCTATGATTATCTGGGAAGTGTCCCAGCATTTATACAATTTGGGCAGTTGTACAGATAATCAAAGGAGCTATGACAGAGAAGAATTAAGGGAAATGCACAATTATATGTTGCCATTCTCTTGATTAATGGATGAATACCAGTCTTTAATTGGAACTGTCCCTCTTTTGACTTCCCCGATACAGTTTTTACAAAGCAAACAAAAAGAATATGAGCTATAATAATATCATGCCTTGGCCATATTAAAACAGTCAGTTGATAGCAGTCCCCAACTTCTGCACCATTGCAGCTGGCTGGGGGAGGGAGAGGGGAACCGGGCCACACAATCTTGTGTGTGCAGCCTACTACTTGCACGAATGGAGCTGCGTGTATGTGTGCACGCTGGTCTGCTGCTCATACGAGTGGAGCTCCACATGTGCACCTGCGCTAACTGCTCATGTGAATGGAGCTGCGCATGCCCAGTTCCAAATAGGCCACAGCCTGGTAGTGGGCCATGGTCCATGGGTTGGGAATCCCTGATTTAGAATATAAATTGGATATCAATTCATTGAGAATTTACAATTAGTTGTTTATACATTTCTCTCTTTTGCTTTTTTAAAGGCAGCAGTAACATAAATACTCCTTTTTATATTTATTTTCTGGTAAACTATTTTTTTTTCCTGTATGAATTTCTTTCTTGAAAAAGTATGGTTTTTTGGTGGTTATATGATCAGAAAGCAAATCCTAGGAGTTTTTCCCATGCTGCTTATTTGTGTTGAACTTTAAAAGTAATTGTAAAGTGTTTACTGCTTGTGCTGCTATAACTGGCAAATTACCCTTTGGCCTTTATGTCAGAGAATTGATTTGAGATTGCGTATGGGTGGGTGCTTTCTGTATCACTGCATATTATAATGTGATAATTCATTAGTGTGTTTAATGCCAATATCTTGATAGGACATGCTTGAGTCTAAACAGGAAGAGATTTTAGAATCTAAAGTAGATGCAGCTGAGTGGAACCTTGAAGTGGAACGTGTTCTTCCTCAGTTGAAAGTCACAATCAAAACAGATAATAAGGTAAGGAAGATCTTGTTTAGTGTGTTCCTTCTAAGTTAGCACGTCATCTTTCAGAAAGAGTCTACCTATGTGCATGCATACTCTGTTTAGGCATTATGAAAGTAGGTCAGCAACTTCTCTGCTAAAAGAAAGCATCACCTGAAAATTTCCAAAAGTACATGTATATTAATGAAGTGTTCCTTCCCATAGATATGTGCACTATATGCGTGAAAGTCAGGGAGAATTGCTAAAATGTTCATTTAAGGAAAAGGAAGAACTTTACACTTTCTTATCTCAGTTATTTTCATAATATCTGTGAAATATACAGGCTTTCTAGATTTGTCTTTTCCTCTGCTAAACAAGATAATTAAAAATAAAGGCACTTTATCCTTGACTAATATCAGATAGTTAGCATAGGTAAGAATCTACAAATAAAGAATTTATTATTCCAGAATAAACCTGCTGCAATTGATGAACACAAAGATCTTACTGAAAGCTGTGCAGATGTGTGAATAGATTTTAGAAGTATTAAGATAACATTTAGGTACCCTAACTTTCAATACCAACTGAAGGCATGTAAATTTTATGAGTGTCAAATGTGATGGTTTCATTTAACTTCAGTTTCCTCAGTTTCCCCTCAGGAAAAACTTGATGTACTAATGTTTGGAATCAAATCATGTTTGCACCTACCATAATTGTTGTTTAATCTTCTTCACTGTTAACTCCCCAAATTCATTCCTTAAGATTTGAAAATACCAGAAGTATTCTTAAGCAGCACATCTTGGAATTTGGTCTACTAATTTGCCTAAGTCTACTCATTTGGGCCCCTTACAAGGTTCACTGATTTCCCATGGGTGCTATGTATGGGTAGTGATCACTTAACAACCATAACTGAAACCAGAATTTTCATCAGTTAAGCAAAACATTATGTGATTAAACCACTTAGTGACAGCAGTTCTAGTAGTCCAGTTGTGGTCAGTAGATGAGGAGTACACCACCATTAGGTGAGGACCTTACACTTTTCCTGCCTTGTCATGCTCACCTCCGCTCAAGTGCCCTCTGATTCAGGAAGGGTCAGTCAGGCATGTCTTGTCAGCAGTGGCAGAAGAAAACAGTGAAGGTCAGCTGGGGGCATTGGTAGGATGCAGGATGACAAAAAGGCAGAGATGGGGGAGATAGGTAGATGCAGGAAAGTTGAAGCATACACTGTGATTGTAAATGCAGACAAGCTACCCAGTGCCCAGATTTTGATCTGCCATAACTACCATTATTTCAGCACCTTTGTAACTTCAAACTCTCATTAACAAATGGTTGTTAAGTGAAGATTACATCTTTGCCTGATATATTCTATTGAACCATGTCTTAACTCTACTATTTTATGCTGTTTACCCATAGATCTTTTTTTGTTTGTTTGTACTTGCTTGACTCTTTATTGGAGCCCTCTTAATTGAATGTTTTTACACATTCACCCATAACCTTTCATCTCCATCTAACTATGTTTAAATGTATCAATTCCATTTATTCTGGTTCTTCCATTTATTTCTAATCAACATTGGCAATTCAGCTTTTGCTCACTTCATTCAACTCTCTCCTCTCGTATTGTAATGTCTCTTTTCTGTGGGGTGTTGAAATCAAGTACTTGAATTATTCTCTATATATCAAGGAAATTACTAAATCACACTGCTGCTATCGTGTGTGTCAAAATGTGACTGTGTTTTGGCATGCAGTATTAAAGTTTTCATTGCTGCCCATCGTTATTACAATCAATGCAGGCAGAAAAAATAGTGATTGCTCAAGCTATCAGTTAGCGCAGTCAGTGGATAACTGCAGCTTTGCAGAGTATATTCTAGGAAATCAGTAGTTATTATTTTAGATGGTAAAGAGATTACACTTTATTCAGTTTATTCAAGTATTGCAATTTCTTTCTTGCTGCCTTTCCACACCTTCAATTATTATTTTTAATCAGAACATTTCTGCTAAATTATGTGACTTCCTGTTACTATTATTATACTTGTCATCTTTAAAGTGTGCACCTTGAGTAGTCAATTGTGGCACCTATATATTAAAGATTTTTCTTTGCAAACCTGTACCATGTTACATGCAGATTGTCATGGAGAAATGTTGGGATATGTAAAATGTTCTTAACCAAAATAAGTAAGGTGGAATTATGAATTTTAAGATTCCAGCAACATGTTTGGTTTTAGATTCTTTCTTGTTTATCATCTTTCTTGTTCAAGGAACATGCAGGAGTCTTTTTCAGCACCACAGCTCAAACAAGTAGACTGTTTTTTTTTTCATGATCCAATTTATGACACTGTGCAAATTAATCTGCATTTAAGTTCCAGGCTGATGTGCTGATGTCAATTTTTATTTTGTCATTTCCATTTTTGCAGTGATTATGTATTTGTTGTTTTGATGTTCAGGAAGAGAACAAATTTTCTTGTTTTCTTCTTTAATTGTTCTGATCAGATGTTTCAGAACTTTGATTTCTAAGAGGATATATCATCAGCATATCAAAAATTGTTAGTGATTCTTTATCCAATTTTTACTTTGATTTTGAATTCTTCCCATCCCAGCTTCCTCATGATCACTTCAGCCTACTTTGAATTTAAAAAAGTGAAAGAATGCAACCTTGCTGTTCTCCTTTCGCTACCTTGAACCAGTACGTGTTTCCATGTGGCACAATAATTTTCTAGTTTTGTGTACAGCAACTATACTAACTTGACAGATGTGTTGTAATCCACAAATCTTCTAGGACTCTCCACAACTTGTCTTGATTGACACAGTCAAAGGCTTTCATGTATTCTTGAGATTTTTTCCCCGTGATCTAAGATAAATTTGTAATATGGTCGTGAGTGCCACTTCTGAAGCTATCGATTCTTGACACATCATTGGTCAGACAGTTTTATTTCCCTTGCTTCTTTTTGATGATGCTTTTATTAGTAGTAAATGGTGTTCAAATCCTTTTGATTTGCACAAATGCATTCTTGGCATGAATCTTCATACATTCCTCCTTTAGCTGCTTGCAATTCTGGTTCCAGTAAACTTTGCTGTCTTTCCTTGCTGCTCTTTGGAAATCTGTATTCAATATCCTTGCTTCCTCTTATATTGCATTGCTTTAACTGCTTTTCTTTGCTTGGCTATTCTGATGGTTTCATCTGAGAGGCACTTTTGCATTTTTTCTGGTTTCTTGTATGGTATATATTCAACTGTTGTTTCAGTGGTAATTGATTGAATTTCTTGCTATGGTACATTGGGCATCTTCTAAACTTTATCCAGCAGTTCAAACCTGTTTTTCATCTGAATTGCATACTTAGAAGGGATTTTGGTGATGTTAAATTTCTTTGGTTGTTTAGTAGTTCTTTCCAAATTCTAAAATTTTTCAAATTTTTATTTAGGATTGGAGAATCCACGTGGATCAAATGCATCAGCACCAAGATGGAATTGAATCAGCTTTAAAAGATACCCGTGTAAGTCTGATGTGTAATTCAAATGTGACATTCTGAGTGACATTACGGCAATTCAGCTATTGCATCTATTAATTAGTTGTAGTATGTTGTTACATTATTACAAAATTATTGTGACAACATTCTGTTGTTACATTATTTCCATCAAGGATTTCCAAGGCCTAAAACATTAGCTTTTTCTCTGAAACCACTTCTAAAGAATAAAAAGTATTTTTCCCCAGGCATCTCTTTTTCTTTTGAATTGGGATGTCTCTGCCAACAAGCTATTTTTAAATGATGCCTATTTTAGAAGACTTGTTTGATCAACATGTGTGGAAGATTTTTCTTTCAAATGAGTTTTCTGCACTGTTTTGAGATTATCATTTTTTCCCTCTAAGAGATATTAGCTGGTAATCATTAAATGGTGCTAGAGGTGAAGGCGTGACCTATATTAAGATGTAAAACCTTAGTATACATAATAATTAAATTTAATATTAAGTTTGGACACCTATGAAAAGTAGATGAGGATTGTACAACTGTACACTGTTAGCTCTCATTCTGAGATACAGACAGTTGCACGACCTTTTTTAATTTGAGTATTCATTGATTTAGTTTTAAGTGGAACAACAAATATGAATAATTGTTGAGGCTACAAAAGTGTTTACAGAGTCCAGGTGCACAGTGATAATTATTTTACACTCATATTTAAATGACTCAGAAGGTCTAACAGCGTACATCCCATTTCATTATTTAAATTTTCCAATTGCAAAATAATTGAGAAACTAGAGTGTTTACCCTGGTTTTAGTGTTAGGATTTATTTTATGTTCCTTGATACAAGTAAAGTTAAACTGTGTAGAAAAATAGCATTAAGTACTTGGGATCCAGTGTTGGATATTTTCAGTATTTCAAAATTTGAAAATATCTTTTTCAGTACAGTGTTACTATGTTCCAAAAGACTTTCTAAAATGTTCTTTGTGTTTGTATTTCTCTAATGCTGCAGGTAAGATTTTAAAACTTGGTAGAGTTTTCAAAGCCTGTGTAGACATGGAACATGGGCGGATGTTCAAATGAAAAAGTGTTAAAAGAAATTCCATTGGACATGTTAGAACTGTTGACTAACAGTTCAGAAGAACTTTAGATCCCAATCAATTTCAGTGATAACATGTGTGTCAAACTTTTACAGGGCTATCTTGACAAGCTTCATAATGAAATCAGCAGAACTCTGGAAAAGGTTAGCAGTAGAGAAAAGTATATTAACAATCAGCTGGAGCATTTGGTTCAAGAATATCGTTCTGCACAGGCACTTTTGAGTGAGGTAATTATTTTACTTTTTAAAGTATTTTTACAGTATTGTGCTGCTACTATTGCGAGCTGATTGTTTTGTATTATATGTTTTATATTTATATTATAACTCAACTCATAAAAATATAGCAAAAGTTCACATTTAGCATTGTTCCTGTGAAAGGAGACATTTTCATAGAAATTCTACACTTGATTAAAATATTTTGTAATATTTCTCTTTTTCCCTTCCCCCAAACAGGCTAAAGAGAAATATCAGCAAGGAAGTGGTGGTGTGACAGAGAGGACAAGAATTCTGTCTGAGGTACACTTATTTATCTTAGTATTACATCAATCAAGTGAATACATATGTGTTTCCCCTCAAATTTAAATATGGTGAAAATAATAGTGTAATTGTGGCAATTGGGATTTGTTTTTTCCAAAAATCTGGTAGAAATTCATAGCCATGGGGACTTCATTTTCCAACCACTGGGAGGGTGTTTTTGGCACAGCTTCTGAGTTCAAGAACTCCATGGCAACTATGGGCTGTTCCAAGTAATCTCAGCTTCGTGATGTGTGAGTGGGATCCTGCTATATTATCATCTAAGCAGATCAATCTGGAAATAGAGACTAGTGATATATGTCCTTTGCAGTATTGAGATTTGCTTCTTTTTTGGAATGGGATCTCATGGCTCTTCTGGATTTTTGCATGGTCAAAATTGATCACCCTTAAGCATCCAATGGTTTCTCAAGGGTGGTTTGCAAATTTTCCTGACAATTTGGCAAGCAGTTCTATCTCACATTTAGTCAACCTTTAGAATATGAAAACAATCAGCATATTCAGTAAAATTATTCCTTTAAGTCTTCTGCTTAATCATTGATCCCATATGTTTATTGCACTGAGAGAAAGAAACAATTGAAAAGATGCCCAGAGTAATGGTAGCATAAAATCTGAAGTGGTTGCAACTAAGCTCTGATAAGGCTTAAGCCTCAAGACTCCATAATTGTAATAAGAGTAGCAAAACATTGGTTCTTTATACTTTTAGCATCCAAAGATTCCTACCTGGTTTCTCTTCATGTTATCAGGATCATTTAGGGAAGGCAGTGTGGGAGAAGACTTCATGTTTAGTGATTGGTTGATTTTAAGTATTTCTGAGCAGCTAATCCAATGTGACTAATGAAATAGGATCTTGTGTTGTTATCCAGTATTTATTTGAGCTTATTGATTCCAGAGAAGTTAATATCCCTTGTAGTAGGATTTCTACTACCTGTCACTTAGTTCCATGTTCGGCTGATTCCTTCAGACTCTTGGTGAAGGATGATCAGCTGGATCAGGAAAAAAGTCAGTGTTCTCTAGAAGAGGGGATTATGATTTTTTTTTTTAAGTTGAATTTCTTCCTAAACCTAGTTATTTTAAAACCTCCCTTAACCCAGCTATGTTTGACAACTTTCTCCTAGTTTCCAAGCTTTATTTTTTTAAGAGGAAGGTTGTTGTTAATGTGGCATTCAACTACAGATAATCCTGTCAGTAATAAGTAATCAGATTTGGTCATAGGATAGAAACAGCATTGGTCGCCCTGGTGGATAACATTCCTCTTCATAGGAAAATTCATCTCTCTTGGTCCCATTACGCTTTTTGGCAGATTAAATATCATTGACCCTGGTATCTTGCTGGACTGTCTACATGGACTGGGAGTTAGTAGTTCTGCTCATCAGTGGCCATTTCCGGGCTGTACTCATGAGCTGTGATGTTTGGAATCATGTTTGTTCCAGTAAAGGGTACCACTGGGTAGAAATGTGGGTGGAAATGTCTGGGCATTTTATATTCTGAATATTGCGGAGGAGAGGGGGTTGGTGTGGCGCTGATCAGCTATTCTAGAACGGGCTGCGCTGCTAATAAACAGGCTGCGGCCATGCCAAATGGGCGCAGGAGCAAAGTGGCTGTACTGAATAGGCTGTGGCAAATGTGCCATTCCGAATGGGCAGTGACGAATGGGAAGTGGTGAATGGCAAATGGCGAATGGGCTGCGGCAAACAGGACAGATGAATACTGGATGGATGCTGGGAGGGAGAGGCAGATTCTTTTCCCTTGTTTTCCTCTCCAAAAGCTAGGTGCTTCTATAAGTCCGGAGGGTCTTATAGTCCAAAAATGTGGTAATTTCTGTATGAAGCCACTGAAAAAAGTTCTCCTGCAGTTTGGGTGATGAGCCACCACCATGCAACGTCACTTAGTTGTTGGTAGCGAGTATCATTCCCAGCCCACACTGGATGAGGTTTGCTTGAACTAACATCTGAAAGTTATTTGAGTCTAAATGTGTTCATAGTGCAGAAAAGACCATGAATATATACTGTTTGCTGAGGTGCTGAGTCAGCATATGAGCTGACCCAGCATATGTAATATTAGTGTGAGGTTATTATGGTGCCTTGTTTAGAAAATGATGGTTTTTAATTGTGTGAGGTTTCTGTGTGTATCTTTTATCAAATTTATATTGGATGTTTTCCCCATTAGCTGCCCAAGGTTATATTGTATAAGATAGGCAGCATATAAATCTTATAAATCAATAAAATTTCATTATATTAAAATAATGGTGCTGGGCCACTACTTAAGTACATAGTATGTGGTGATTTAGCATGTTTGTGATAGATTTAGATGTCTTAACTTGGGGACGCCTGATTAAAAATAAGCAATGGGTTTATCCTGAAGTATTCATGAACGCTTACTTGTTATAAGTTGTATGATTTGAAATTTAAAGCACTCTGAATGGACACTTGAGAATTCCACTTCTCTCAGTTCTCCCTGAAGCCAGTTCACTGACCTCAATTAAATGATTTACTGTACTCTGCTTCTGTGAAATCATTCAGGATAAATGAATGACTGGTTTTCCTTTTCAAATAATTTAAATTTTATAAGATCGTAATATTAAATTAATGAATGTACAGTATATAACTTTACATGACTAAAAGGCAGGGCCTCTGGTGACTGTTTCATCAGAATCAAATCAATTTATGTAATAGACTTTTCTCATTTATCTACTTTGTATTGTTGATTATTCTTATGAATTAAGAATTGAACAAGATACCCATGTTTTAATTATGTCATTAGACAGAAGAAGGAAACCTTGGATATAAAGTATTTTTTTTAACAGAGCCATTATAAGTATGACCTATTAAAGCAAGATTTGTAATTCGTAGGAACCATCCTGTGAAAAAACCCCTGAAGATGATAATTACCATCATAGATTTGCCATAGTGGCAAAGTGATTGGAATATAGTATTCCAGGCAAACTCTGCCCACTGTCAGGCGTTCGATCCTAGTGGCTCGAGGTTGACTCAGCCCTTCATCCTTCTAGGGTCAATAAAATGAGGACCCAGATTGTTGGGGGCAATATGCTGACTCTCTAAACCACTTTGAGAGGACTGTAAAGCACTATGAAGCTGTATATAAGCCTAAGTGCTATTGCTGTTGCATGTGAAATTCAGAGACACAGTGCTGTTTTGGCTATGGAACCACTTGCTCTGCTTATTCATACATTTCCAACTTGAAGTAATTTTATCCTTCCAATGAGGAATTCTGTTTCAGTTATAATAAACTTGACAGAATATATTAACTATGGTTTCTGTAATTCTTCAACTTTAGTTATCATCTTGTATGCAATAGTTCTTTCATATACCTTCCTAGGTTTATTGGATTTCTGTGGGCTTCAGTAGGGTAGTTTGCAATATGAGAGTTTTTTAAAAAATTAATATGTCATAGTTATGTATTCCTCAGCAAGGGTCAGTTGTCTGAGTGTGATTCATTTACCCTCTTCCATTTTCACTTGATTTTAAATTATGTTTACTTTATTAAGCATTGAGGCAGAATGGCATAAAAAACCCAGAGCTGCTGCAGCCAGCCTGTTCTCCATCTGTTTGACTTGGCTGGCTGCCATAGCAATACTGCTCTTTCCACCCACAGTCTCTTGCCAGCTGGAATACCTTGCTCCGAGGTGGTTGTGGTAGCTAAGTAATCCTTATCTGTCTCCCACTTGAACTGGCCACTGCATCTTGCCAAATGGCAGATTTACTTTGGGGAATCTACTTTACTGAAAATAATCAAAAAGCAAAACTACCGACATTATGTATATATGCATAATGTAACTTGAGTATCTCTAGCCCTCCTATAAACACAAATTCTCAACAGCACATACTGCATCTAAGAGATAAGAAAACAGACAATCATTACTTAAGGAAGGATAATGGTCTTTTTTTGTCTTAGACTGCGGATATTCTAGCTACTTACTGCGCTTTTGACATTCAGGATTGTGCCAGGTTGTAGAGGCTGCTACAACAGCAACAGCCAGATGTTAGTCTCTCAAAGTACAAAATTTCCTTCCTCAAGCTGCTATTGCTGATATTTTTCACAGTTTTGGCTTCTAGTGGCTTTCCCATCTCTTGTGTTCCAACACTCGTGCTGTTTGTATTTGAGTGAAACTACAAGTAGTCCTTAACTTATAACCATTCATTTAGTAACTATTCGAAGTTACAATAGCACTGGAAAAAGTGAGTTAAGACCATTCTTTCACACTTATGACTGTTACAGCATCGCCATGGCCATGTGTTCAAAATTTGGATGCTTGGCAACTGGCATATATTAATGATAGTTGCACTGCCCTGGGATCATCACCTTTTGTTACTTTCTGTCAAACAAAGGGGAAGCCAGATTTGCTTAACAGCTGTTCTACTTTACAACTGCAGTGATTAACTTAACAACTGTGGCAATAAGGTTTTAAAATGGGGCAAACCTCACTTAACAGCTGCTTTGCTTAGCAACAGAAATGTGTTCAATTGTGTCATAAGTCAAGGACTATATTAGATGTCTGCTTCACATATTAGACCAAACTATGAATCATGGTTTACTGTCTTCAGTGGTTGACTTCATACAACCCTCAAAGTTCTGTGTAATCTTGTGGAATATTGTTTGATTCAGACATGTTCCTTGATATGTATGCTCCATGCCTCACCTCATTTTTTAAAAGAATTAATTAAAAAAGGAAATGGAAATATGCATTCTGCAAAGTCTAGCCTCAAATATCATCTTAATTCTTTTAATCTTCTGGGCATCACATTGACTCTAAAGAAAGACTTATAACATAAAAATGAAACATCACCACTATTCTGATTGAAAGTATGGCCATCTGCCAAGTTAAACAGTGGCAGGTAAACAGGTAATAGAGAAGATGGTGAGCAATTATCTTTCTCTTTTAATTTCTCATTAATAAATATTTTGCAATAGGCCACATCCTTATTGTAGCCATTTGTAAGCATGGCCATCTTGTGCTCTAAAAATTTAAATATAATTTTAAAAGGCTGTGTATGGTTTACAGAATGCAAACTTAAACAAAGCACCTCATGTTTTAGTGTGATATTTGAACCCAGATATTTACTCTTTAGTAACAAACAGCTTTAGAGATGAATGTTACTAGTTGGAGATGATTTTCAAAACAGAACTTGGTTCTTTTTTTACCGGATCTGCTTCTCACTTTTGGTTTTTGAGAACACAGAAAAGAAGAAAAAAGTAGAGAAAATAAAACAAGTCGAGGTCCATAAAGTTTTCAAATGAGTAGGAAACATATTTGTATTATTTCAGAATATCAAATAAAAAAATATATTGCAAACCTGATTGTGCTGTACTCCCTCCTCCTTTCTATACTTATGTGAATTAGAGAAACATCTGCCTAAGCCACTTCCAAATATTATCTTATTATGGACCTTAAAAATGCTTCAGCCTCTTTTGCCTTACAATGGAACCTACATACCTCTATCAAGATCATCTTCCTTACTGTTTATAACACTGTGCTGAGGCTGCACCTTGAATTATAACCAGAGGTCCACTAGAACCTAGTTCAGCTCATGAAATAGTAGTGTTACATAGGTGTAGTGAACGGTTAATATTAATACAGTAATACCAGTCCTGATGCATTTTGGGTCATTTGCAGCTTCTGGATGGTCTTCAAGGGCAAACCCATGTACAGCATGTTGTAGAAATCTATTTGGGAGAAGGCCAATGCATGAATGACCATAAGCAGGGCCCCATAATTTAGAAATGATTACAATTTGAGCACAAGATAAAGTTGTGCAAAGCTCTCCTGGCCATGTTCTCCACCTGTTATTCAGGCAATATATAAAGTTCAGGAAGACCCCTAAAATTGCCTAGAGGTCTGAGTGAGGAAGTAAAGCCCTATTCAGAACCAATCTGGAAAGTGTCCAGATTTGGATCCTGGGGGTCACAAACTCACCTCCCCAGTATTCCTAGAGTTAAGTTGGACCCTGTTCAAGTTAAAGCTTCTTCTTCCTTATCTAGACCCTCACAGCCTCCAGGCACGTTTTAAATAAAAAACTACTTTTTTATTCTTTTGAACCCAGCAGAATATACATGATTTCCTTAACCTGTTTTAGAATTTTCACAGTGCAATTTTTAGCACTGTTTTTCTTATTTGTGTTGATCTGTGTAGTGGGGACTATACTCCAATTATGTTCAATGAGTTTAGTATTTAATCATTCTGCTTTGTTTTATATTTTTAGTTTTTCTGTTTGCTCTATGAAGAATGTAGGTTGACTTTTGGGAACCTCAGTTGTTTTTGAATTGTGATGTCAATAAGACTTTTATATTAGACTGGAATTTTCACAGAGCAAAAGGGAGTCAATTTAACTCCAACAACAATTTACCATATTTTTTGAAGTATAAGATGCACCGGAGTATAAGACACACCAAGAGGCAATTGAAGAGGCTTTTTTTTAAAAGTAGGTAGGTAGGTAGGGAGGGAGGGAGAGAGAGAGAGAGAGATACAGTAGGTAGGTAGGGAGAGAGAGAGTAGGTAGGTTGGTAAGTAGAGGGATAGAGAGCGAGAGAAATACAGTAGATAGGTAGGTAGGGAGAGAGAGAGTAGGTAGGTTGGTAAGTAGAGGGATAGAGAGCGAGAGAAATACAGTAGATAGGTAGGTAGGGAGAGAGAGAGACAGTAAGTAGGTAGGTACGTAGGTAGATGGAGAGAGAGAGAGAGAGAAATACAGTAGGGAGGGAGGGAGGGAGGGAGGGAGAGAGAGAGAGAGAGAGAGGGATACAGTAGGTAGTAGGGTGAGAGAGAGAGTAGGTAG